TCATAAATACAATTTGACTTGTTGATTTAGATGGACCCCAAATCAGAATTCCTCAATAGGATTCAGTGTTGGCTTCACCTTATAATCTCTACAAAGTTTATTTCTAATTTCGATTATAAGGTCACCCAACTCTTGACTGACTTTGAATTGCAAACAGATGCAATATCTAAAAACAAAATAAAAAGTAGAATGGGAGATCACACATACTCTAACCGAAACAGACCCTGCACACCAGAAGGGCACACTCTACTAGCCCAGTGTTTCTCAACCTTGCTGGCTGGGGAATTCTGGGAATTGAAGTCCACACATCTTAAAGTTGCCAAGGTTGAGAAACACTGCCCTAGCTTATCCCAGAGCTTGGGGGAGAAGATCAGATTTTCAGAGCTCATTTAAAGGCTTTCAGGATTGGGGCAGTTATAATCTCCAGGGGGTGCTATTCAAAAAAGCAGGTGCTGTGATAGAGAAGGTACACTTCTTGGATCCCATCAGATGACCTTTAATGGATGGGACACAAAGCATGCCCCCTCTGTCAGATCCATTGGGGATGGGAGGGGAAAGGGGGGACAGAAATGAAGGGGGAGAGGGCAACCTCTCAAATATCAACTGTATTTTAGCCCTTTTCTGAACAGCATGGAATTTGTCCCTTTTTCAGTTATTGCACTGCTTGTTAAGCTCTTACTTAGAATTGTTCCTCTTGCTACCAGAAGTTTTTCTATTTTACCACTTGACACATTTACAGCTTTTAAAAACCCATTGAACTCGAAGGAATCTGGGGTTATTTTTTAACTGGAAATTGATAACTACAGCAATAGTTCACAGGAAGTTTATAAATTTTACAGCATTTCACACTTGGTACTGATTTTTTTTCCTCTGAAAGTTGTACAGTTGCAGGAGCTGCTAGTGCTGCTGAAGGGAGATATCATTAAATAAACTGTTAAAACTTGTGAGGCACCTAGTCAAAAACCCATGAAGAAAAATAGTTTTATTAACAATGGACTTTTCTGGATATCATAGTGTTTAAAAATTGAAAGTGATTCAACACATTGCAGTTTCTTCAAGCTCCTCTTTCTCCAGAACGTGGCAGAGCTGTCTTTTCCAGAGAGAGACAGGGAAGAACAAATGTAGAATGTGAACCATGTCAGATTAGAAGGTTGCAGATATGATGATAGGTTGCTAGTAAAACTGCAAATAGCATACTTAAAAAGACATGAGACCGCACAGAAGAAAAAAGCTTCTCATAGACCAGTAGAGAGCAACACGTAGCTCCTAAGAGCCTCCTCTGTCGACTAATGCTAACATTATTTGAGTTCAAGCATTTTTAAAAAGATAGGCTTAATATTGTTAAGTAGAAACTGCATCAAACTCACAATAACCTAGGGGAAAAATATGAAATCTCTAACAGGAGTTCTGCTATTATGTACATTCTTTTAAAGAAGGTTGAAAAACTGTTGTAAATGGTTTAGTGCTTCCTTCTCTTGCTTTCTCTTGACTCCCACACTTCTCGATGTTCAATCAGACCTAATTAGATAGAGTATGTTACTGCTAAAGAGAATAAATCTGCAATGCTCTTCTGGTCTTGAAATCTGTCTCTGTACCAACAAATCCTTTAAGCAATCATGCCTGCAAATCTGTTTGAGCCCTGTCCCAGCTTGTAAATGTGTTGTCTTTTCCTAATTCAACCTCTTTCCATGAAGCGTTCAAAGACTGCAATATATGTGCTTTTCAGCCTGGCACTGGTTTGTGAATTTTAACATATAATTGTAAAGAACTGAAAACACGGTAAGAATAAATTATGTAAATTAGGCATATAACCTCTCCTGGGTGCAAAGATTACATTTTCCTTTGGAACAGAAGTCTAAATAACTTGCAATAATATTAAATTCTGTTTACCCTATTTAATTTAGCTTAGTTTACAAATAATGTAAATATCTACTTCATAATTTATAATCTGCATTTTTCTCCTAAGACAATTTGGCGTTTTAAGTCAAGACAGTTGCTTGGCTGTTATACAGTGCATGGGCTTAGGTATACAAGGACCCTTGAAGGCAATTCAGTCCAAATTTTTGAGGGCTATCTTTGGGGTCCCTCATTGTGTTCCCAAGGCTGCTTCTGACTTGGAGGCAGGGTCTACTCTAGCAGAATGAGAGTCTGATAATCAAGATCACCTACTGTCTTAAACTGACATACTTCCCTGTAGGCCTGGCTCCCTTGAGCCTACTAGATTTTCACTTAAGATTGAAGACTTTCAACACAAAAACTATATAATTGTCATTTGCTTCCATTAGCCTTGCAATCTTTGAGTTTCCCCAAAGCTAATGAGGCTGTAAGACAGCAAATAATAGATACTAATTTGCAGACAGACAAATGCCAAGACCTCCTTCTGCTTTAAGAACGGAAACCTAAGCAAAGCCTGGCTAAATGTCTCCAAACCTTGCAAGAAATAGCAAAGTTTTCGTCTTAGCTTGCTTCAATGCTTTGTCTTCAGTCTTACTGGAAGGAAGATATCAACATCTCCTCCTTGCAGAGAGGTTTTGCCCCATCATCGGTCAAAACATGGGCAATGTACTGTTATATTGTCAATTTTATAATGATCCTGATTGCTTTTATATAGCTCCAGTTTGAAGTAGGTTTCCTGGTAGACCAGATTAATTTTCTATTAGTTCTCCTTGCACATTCTAATGATGACATTACTTTCAAAATTGCCAAATTCTATTTTAGATCCTGTGCTACTAGGGAACAAATGAGAAATCCTGGTCATTTATTTTTTAATTTTATTTTAAATTGTTAATGAGAACTAGATTGTTATAAGAAGACTGTAAAATCTTTCAGTTTGCTAACAGCTACAAATTGATTAAGGGTTTGGTTTCTGGTTCATGGACTATAATTAATTGTCAACAAACCCAAATGAAAAAAGGCGCATTTTATAATTTTTTTTAATACAATTTTAAATTTTTAAACAACATTTCATATTGTTCTAATACAATAAAATAGAATATCTAATTCAGCTGGTTTACAGATGAAGCATTTTAGCCAATCTCCTGATGATGTAGATGTTTCTACATGCAGGTCTTTCAAACATAAAGTCCTCCTCTATATATTATATGCCTTCATAAGTAATAAGCAATAAGTAAGTAGCCTTAGTACCTCAAGGAAACATTCTCAAGCACAATTTGTCAAATGACTTTGCCAGTATTGAGGCCCTGATTTACAAACACAATTCCATTTTTTACCCCATGTAACCTCAACAGCCAACATTCTCCAAAGAACATCTGATATGAAAAGGAAACCAACCAAAAGTCTTCTTGCAAAGCAGGTGATACATCTTCAAAATGGGACAATCAGCTTTATTACTTGTTCTGATGAAATTTTCACTTATGTAACACTTAATGGTTTTAAAACATACATAAACACACACACACCCCTACCCATCTTCAGGCATACAGTTATGTATTCTACAGAAAAAACAGGTACAGTGTTGAGGCTGTGTGTTCCCTGACATTAGTTTAAATGTGTTGCTGAAATTTCTATCTATTGGGAACACTTTCCCAGACAATAAATGTTGTCTTTAAGCGAGCTGGTGGAAACGAATCAGTAGCATTATAAACTGGCCCAGCCCTGATTCTCGTTGCCAAGCTACAGCGGCTTAAGAAACCCCCCTCCCAATAATTCCTTGTTTCTGTTATTCATCTAACAAGGGTGGTAGTAGTGGAAGCCTTTCAAAAGATCAAAAGCCACATAACTGACATGAGGTTAGAAAAATCTATTTTTTGCTTGGTAGGCTGTAGCATAAAAGAAAACATTTCCTGCTTAAAGCAATGTCAGATTTCGGAAGAACTGTAAGCTGAACCCAATCCAATTCATCACTGAAGGAATCTGGCTTGAATATAGCATACAGATCATATTGAGACAAGGTCAATCTTCTTTATATGTTACGTTTATTTTTTTTTAATTTTAGTCACTATAGTTTAGATGGCTACCAGGGCATTTACAGAATGATTAATTCATTATAATCCATTTTACCAGGCTACATCAGAGGGAGAGAAGATGAGAAGATGGTTATTCCATCAGCCCTGCTCTTGGCCTCTCCAATTGGTCATTATTTAACACTGTTTATACTTTAAAAATCAGTATCTGGGTTTTCTTTTTTTCCTCTTCTTTCTTTTTTTTCTTTTTATGATGTGTCTTTTAGGTTATAGGCCTGGAAGCAGTGCCTGTCTTGATTTTAATGATTACATGTACCCTACTCTTGTAGCATTTCTGGCTGTACAGCAGATAAAAATGCTAATAAAGATAATGCCAATTATTCTTCTGTCTCATCCACTAAGTTGTTCAATAAAATTGGCCTAAAATTAGACATTTTAAACATCTAAAAATTAGATACAGATTGCAGCACTGGACAGTATCTTCTTTGGATATATTTCACGCTCTGCAATGTAAAACACTCAAAATGTTGCTGTTATTTAGAAAGGGCGGATTCCTCAACTGGCGTACCATCAATGAAAAGGCCCTACTTTAGGCGACTCTGCTAAATACACTAGTCTTGGCAGTGATACTTGAAACAGGGCCTTTAAAAAGGAATACTGGGCATACTCATGCAGGAGGAGGGGATCTTTCAAATACTGAATTGGGCTGAAGAAGAACTGGAAGACAGTATAAACTGACTGGAGTAATGAAGTCAGAAAAACAAACACCAGAAATGCATCCTGCTGCATTCCTGCCCATTTTTTAATAGGATAACTATAAGCAGGATACATTAGAGCTTGGCTGGCTGGGGAATTCTGGGACTTGAAGCCCACACATCTTCAAGCTGCTAAGGTTGAGAAACACTGCATTAGAATATTACAGTCTGGACATAACTAAGGCATGGATAAATTGCAGCCTGACCTAAGCCCCTAAGATTTACAAAGAAAGAACAAGTTTGAACTATAAAATGTTACTCATATTAAGTCTATTATTTGCTGGACCCCAATAGCTGACTTAGGTCTACCTACTCAGCTGAATTCTTACTCCCACTGCACCCTAAATAAGATCTTGCTCACCACTACTCTGGCATATTTTACCATTGATCAAAAAACACTCTAAAGGAATTAAAAACACCTAGTATCTAATTTTGCCTAGGGTGTTTTGGAAGGCTAAAAGGCTCTGAGGCCAATTTCTGAGTCAGAAGCAGCCTTACCATGAATGAGAGACTCCAAGTTGCAGATTTAGGTGCCAGTAAAGGTGGCAGAGTAGAACACAGACAAGCCCCATCCATGTGAACGGCATTCTGTTTAAACATCATTAAAGCAATCCTTCCTTTTATTCTTTTTAAATAACTTAGAGGGTGGCCTTTGCATTTTCTGCACATTGGGGGCATGTGCTGCACTGAGCATAACCAGTGCACCTCCTTCCCCCCACTATAAGGGACATACCAAACAAGGAGGTGATATATCATTCATTGTGGCACAGGTGGTTTCATAGGCAGGGTGCATGCTTTGTAAAGAAATCAGCAGTAGTCTGACCATGCAATTTATCCTGTAATAGGCGGGTAGTTATTACAGACACAGATGGCACACAGCTTGAACTCTGACTTCCATTATTTTATCTCACAATGGTAGAGATGATCTGCAAAGAAAACTGCTTAATTAGCCGTCTCCTGTGTTGCTTAAAAAGAATAATAGTCATCAAAACATTCTATGACACCTTCCTTTCCACCCACAGTGGGAAAAAGCTTCACATCTTACAGGTTACTCTAACACAGAAAATCATCCTTTAGCCACCAAACTCTAGGCTTGTTACCTCTCTGGCTCTCAGAATCCTCCCCGTTCAGGAAGCATTTTGCTAAGCATTGTTAACCAACCTCTCTGGTTGGTTTATAAGGGAACTGACCGTCTGGGGCTGATCAGTCCTCCTGAAAAATTGCTGTAACATCAACCAGCAATATGACCACTAATTCACTTTGGAGAGAATGACTGAAAACTCAGTTCAAAAGTTCATTGCTTCTGTCCATCTTGCTTCTCTTCAGGAAGAGGCAACAAGCAGCCAGCAGGATTGGTAAGGCTGGTTGTCAGCACTTGCAATCAATTACTTCCTTCAAGGTTTCGGAGGCTGAGAGTGGAGGTGGGGAGGGGGAAGGGGAAGAGGAGGAGATTGGTGTTTTCAATCCAGCAGAGAGAGGAAGAGCGAATGCAGCCGGAGCACACCAGATGGGGCTCCTAGAGCAAGTTCTGCATTTCCCCTCCTTTTACCAGTTGGATGTAATTGGTTTGCTGAAGGCTTTGATTAACTTACCTCTTCTGCTGCAGAGCTTCATCAAGGGTTTCCTGCTTCTCTTGCAGCAGCCGCTGGAGGTGCTTCATTTCTCGCTGGTACTGAGCAGTCCTCCCCGCAAATTCCTTCTCTTGCTCTGTCACTTTGAGACTGATGTCCCCAAGCTTGCCAGCAGCTGTCTTTTTATACACCTGTGAGAGTTGGAGCAGAGTCCAGTTAAAAGCACAGCTGGGGCTGCAGGTGCATAGATGGATCATAACCAGGGGGGGAAGATGGTTCTTTCTCACGGTTGCTTCACCCTGAATCACGGGATGCCTGGTTCAGAGAACAAATCGGGTAGGTTGGAAATGACCTGATCATCTTTCTTCAAGCTTTTCTACTATATGCACTTGCCAACAAAGACAAAATGTCACTGCCTCGGCAGACGGTGCTGTTTCACCCTAGGATTCTCTTGTAGAAAGGCTGTTCTAAATAGCTTCAAAGCCAAATATTGGTTTGACCAGGCAGGAAGAATAGCTAGACTTTAAACACGTGTTGCTTATCTACAAGGTCAACAGTCATGTTTTAATGATTGATTTACATGTAATGATAAAGAGATGTGACTGTACATTACGGGTTACTAATCTTTTAATCTTAGCACAAGAAGGAAAAAAGCAACAACCTTAGCTTTGCATTTGATGCTTCTGTTACTGTAATGGCTATGTATTTGTTTTCTCTCTGGAATACTGGAATGTCACACTTTCCTCCTTTCTCTAGCACTTAGCATGCCTTCTTTAGAAAAAGTCTGACATACAAATGGAGCTTTTTAAGCTATTCTGGGACAAATATTGCATTAAACTAAATTTTACCTCTGAATAATAAAAATTCAGAATGCTTCAATAGGCAAGTACCATTGTCATATAAGTCTGAAAGGAAAGATATGTTTCTTACAGCAAGTATTTTCTTTCCAGCAAATCTAGATTGATTGGTTGACAATTACTCTGATGGTGAGAGCTATATTCCTGCCTCAAGTCTACAGAGTCTGAAAATTCATCCAGTTGGAGAGATATACTTTCTGAAATCAGCTCTTTGCAGTGATTTTCATGAGTAAAAAAAAAATGGAATAATCGGGACAAAAATTGGAGCAACACTGAATAATGTAGCCTGTAAAATTTCATGTGTGAGTTACTGCATAAATACTGAAACAGATTGAGTTGTCTCATTCCATCTCTTGAAACTGATCATAGAAATCTACCACTGAGAATATTAAGAGTTTGCTTATTAGAGAAGTTGATTGTGATTGTCATCTGGGGTTTTGGAGATACTTGAATTCTATGGGAATATGCTCAGAATTCAGTATAGCACATTTCACTCCATGGCATTCCTTGACAAAAGTTCCTGTGCAAAAGTTAAGAGAGACAGGACAGGCCCAGATGGAATAGTTTGATCCAGGACATCTTCTATGTTCAAAACTGATGAGAGTAAGCTTTTGGAAATGTGGTTGAACCGCACTGGCCTATCTACTTTATATCAGCCCACAGATGCACCCTTAGCAGCTTTTCTGATTTTTTGTAGCTGGTTATGATATGCATTGCTTTACTTTTGTAGTTTAATCTAATCTGGATTAAAATCTAGATTATATAAATTAGCTAGTGAGGTGGGGCAAGGACCTTTCTATGTGAAACGTACTTTATCTTTGATATATGTATAATTTCACATTTGAACATATACAGCGGTTTTTGTTAAAGTGGCATAGAGAATGGAAAGTTGAACTGCCAAATATGAGGCATCTATAGGAGCATAAATATTAATAGCTATTCCAGCTAGCAATACCTTTGAATTGTGGAGCCAATGATTTGTATGTGTAGGTTTCATTTCAAACTGTCATTACCGGTAAAAAGATTTGGAGGGAGTGGGTGTTTCTCACAAAAACTGAATGCAGTAAATTTTGAAAGTAGAAGGACCAATATAAAGACAAAAAGCAAAGAAAGAAAGGAATGGGATGAATTCAGAAATGAAAAAAATCTAACTTAGCTAACCCAGCAAATTTCAATTACAGCCTTTGATCTTGGATATTGGTAAAACAAAACAATATTCTGTATGCAGAATGACTTGGTTCATATATTCAATGTATGTGAATAATATATTCATTAAATGCAAGGGCTTATTTGGGCTTCCCTCTCAATTTAAAATTCTATAAAGAAATACTGAAAAAATAGTCAGGAAAGTCAAGTTGGCCAGATATTGTATAGTATCTGCCTTAAATACTAGTATTCATCATCACTTTTTGTTCCCTTTTTGAAGGGATCTGTATAAGCAGAAAATTCTGCTCCCTGGAAATTGTCTCAGCATTACCAGTGTGTCCTCTTGGGCAGCCAGTAGGAAACAGCGACATGTAAAAATGTTAGTGGGATAACTTTCTGCCTAGGACAGGAATAAATTCTAGGGCCATTTCTCTTATAGCAAACAAATGTTGTTATTTAAACAGCCTTGCCACCAAACGATATTCCTTTTACCTGAGATCTATCACGTCTTTTTTTCCTGAAAATGAAAACATTTTCAAAACCTCTTCCATTATGCCCCCAACATCCCACCCCAGATCTTCCCAAGTTCTCTCTTCTGCCATGATTAAATAAATGCAGCTTGTCAACTGAATATTGCTTTTGATGGCAACGCTGTCAACTTCCTGCATGTTGTGCAGCTGCCAAAGTAAAAAGGGCCATCAAGGATCAGGACAGCCAACTTTGTATTGCAAGAGGTAGCATTTACTGAGACAAACAATATAACCTCAAACATGCTTTATTTGGAACTGATTACTGGGGAGGTGATGGGGGCCACCCAGAACTACTGTGATAATGAAATATTTGGATCCTTTTCAACCTAGTTTCTGGACTGGATTTTGGACTAAGATGGTCTTTGTTGCCTTGAAGGATAACCAGTCACTATGGCCATACTGGGTGGATCCATGGTCTGATTCAGTGTAAGACACTCCTTCTATATTTGCATGACAAAATGAACAGAACAGCATTACTATTTGGATTCACTGAGAATATGTAGTGGTATTCAATTCCATCAATCATGATATCTTGCTGGACTGGAACTTGGGATCATCTTACTGAATTTTCTTCAATTTTTCCTGGAGGGCGGATATCAGAGATGACATGGAGCAAATTTGTGAGATGTTGCAAGAATATCTGAGGTATAAATTAAATAGAAAGGCAGAGCTAACCAGAAACCTGGGAACAGTACCATCAATATGCTAAAGAAACCCAGATCTCTTTCCTTTTTATATAATACCAGCAAGGCAGTACAGGTTAATGACCATTTGTTCAGCGACCGTTCGAAGTTACAATGGTGCTGAATGAGACTTATGACAGGTTCTCAAAGTTGCGGCCGTCACAACTGGCTCGCAATTATGGTGGCCACAACATCCCACTGTCACTTGATCACCATTTGTGACCTTCACTGCCTGCTTCTGACAAGCAAAATCAGTGGGGAAGCTGGAAGGAGGTTGCAAATGGTGATCACGTGATGTGCTTAACTGCGTGGGATTCGCCTAACGACAACAACTGGAACTGCTGTCAAAGGCAGCGCAGTCACATGACCTCTTTTATGACCACATTGCTTAGCAACTGAGTTCCTGGTCCCAATTACCACCGTTAACTGAGGACTACCTGAAATAGGTCCGTACAGTGCCTGAAATCAGTTATGAATTCTATATACCCTTTTCATCACATTTATTTATGAGATTTACAGGTAGTCCTTGACCTATGACCATTCATTTAACAACCGTTTGAAGTTACGACCACACTGAAAAAAAACACTTAAGACCATTGCAGTGTCCCTGCAATCATGTGGTCAAAATTTGGGCACTTGGCAACCAGCATATATTTACAATGGTTGCAGTGTGCTGGGGTCATGTGATCGCCATTTCCAACCTTCCCAGGGGGCTTCTGACAAGCAAAGTCAATGGGGGAAGCCAGATTCAGTTAATGATTGCATGATTCACTTAACAACCACAGTGATTCGCTTAATGACTACAGCAAAAAGGTCATAAAATCTGGCATGACTCACTTAATGACTCCATTACTTAGTGATGAAGTTCCAGTCCCAATTGTGGTCATAAGTCAAGGACTACCTGTATATAGCCTTGATCCTTAACAGATTCTAGATGTTTGCACACCTTTATGAATGCCACAAACCTGTGACAAGTAAGAGTACTAAAATAAACTTAGCAAAAGTTTAAAGGATACTAAAGCTTTATATAACTAGTTCCAAATCCTCCTCCTTTTCTTGGGACTCTAGCAGTTCATTATTCAGAGCTGGGTTCTCTCTTTTTGTTAAGATGCCTCTTCCTCCCAAGCAGATGCTTCATAATAAGATTCTTTAGTGGCTGTGAAAGTTCAACTGAATCTGTCTCGGTAAGTGCCTTGCAGGATGAGGATAAATGCTAAGACTAGCAAGGTGGGAACCAGTGGTACCCAGATTAGAGATATGTTATATAATCATAGTTTATCTACCTCCCAAGGCCATCAAAACACCAGCCAAGTATCCATTAAGTCACAAACATCTGAGGAATAAGCCATGAGTTTAAATTCTGGAGCACAGATGTATCTATTTATGTACTTTTTAAAAATATATTACCAATTTCCAAACAGACTCATGGTGTACAATAAACTAAAATAAAAGTAATAGAAAAAGTAAATTAGAACATTAATATTCTAATATAATTAGAAAAAATACAAAAATATTAATCCTTAAAACCATCACCAAATCTGTAATACTGTAATAAAAATAAAAAGCATATTGATAACAGGTCTTAAATAAATGCAATTTTGAACAGCTCTGTTTTCAAAGCTTTTCTAGAGGTCAGTAGTGAAAGGGGAGAGAGAGAGAGAGAGACTTCTTAGCATTAAAATGAACAATCAGCTGTTGTGTTTAAAGCATCATCCTTGTCCTGCAATAAAGATTCTAATCTAGCCAACTCATGACTTAAGGTCTTCTGCTAAGTCAAACCAGGTGCTGACTAAGGGGTTTAATGTCTGGAGACATGTTCTTTAGTACCAAGCCCTGATGTGAAGCCTTACAAAGAGGGTGGAAAACTGGGTGGCTTAGGAACAGCCACAGTATAGCTGAAAGTATTATTAACTAAGATCTTCTTGGAATAGGTCCTCAATGGTTGTTTTGCTAGTATTCTTCAGATATTCTTCAG